CACACATTTAATAAAAATGAAGAACTTAGCACTTTCCAAACCTAGCGACTTTCACAAATGACAAGAACATTATTTTCTTGGTGATTTTAATCTTACCGTTGTGGGTTGAAATGAAAGCTATTTCAATTTCCTCTTCCTTCTGTTTTGAGCCGTGCTACAATATACAGTCGCTTGGACCTGCTCTGAATAAAACTCTATTATACCAACAGACTTTATCTGCATTTAGGGAATAAACTTTGCAAGAGAGCGAGCTACACAAAGTCACGACAAGACATTTGTCACAATCGTAAACTATCAATGCTCAATACGAACGAGTTTTCTTTGCTTCCAAGCCCGCGATATAGAAGGTTTGACCCAAACCGGAGTCGTTCAGATTTTCGCTTGAAGCATTTTTGTAGAGGAAGTTGCCTTGTTCGTCCACATATTCTTTTATCTCCGAAAAGCCCAAGCATTCTCCTTCTGGTGAAACACAGCGATTTGTGAAGGCGTAAGCTCCGTAGAAGTAGTAGCCAGACGTATTGTAGATCTGTCCAAAATACAAGCGACGATGGTCTAAAGTTCTATAAAAATGAATTTTCGGCAATGTAGGGGATTTTACATCTTGTTAGAAAAGTTTGCCAGATCTATACTGGTTTGACAATCGTGGTAATAAGTTTTGTTCCAGAAAAAAGCAAATTGAAAAAAAAGAGCAGAATAGTTGACTTGGTACAGTAGACATTTGATCATGATTCTATTTTTACTACGCTGTCGCTGCATTAAATACTCACTTGCTCTGTGGAATACAGGTATGGGCGTACACGTCTGCTCTGCTTTCTTAGAGAGAAGAAGCCTGAATAAGAGTTGAAAAACGAACGAAAATAACTCAAAAGAAAAGATGATGGCCATAACCATAAATCGATCCATTAATCGCCAAAATCTGCCCTGTTATAATGAGTGTGTAGGCTAATGTGATACAATTAGCTAAGATGGCTGGAAACGATATTAGCAGGGGAACTGGAGAATCTTTCAAGAGCCTATACGACAAACTGCCTGCAGCTATAAAGCCATTCTTTTTTCCTTCATTATTCTCTCTTTATCCAATTTTTTATGCAGCTACCACCGAAGGTCATATTTATCCAATTTTTTATGCAGCACTCCTTACACTCGAAAGACATCGTCTTTGCTGAAATATTTTACATTTTTGCGACTACTGTACACCCTCGTGTATCAGTGAATCATATATATCAGTATAGTATAGTATAGTATAGTATCAGTACAGTATCATATATCAGTACTGAGCCTTTACAAATGTCTAAATTCGAAATTTTGTTGCGCTTTCCGCTAAATACAGCGAAAGATCTATGTGAATTAGCGCTTTCTATGCAGATTAGCTATGCGCGATAAGGTTGACGTAACTTTGGATGTGACTTTGACTCCTACCAATTATATGAAAGTGTTGAAAATATTTCAGATTGTTTTTTGTTTGATTGGACGACCAGGGTAGGCACTGATCACTTGGGATGCATCATCCAAAGATGACACTCTGAACGGAACAGGATGCTGAATGTTGCGACATTTTTTTGGCTGCGCATGCAGTTTATCGCGGTAAAAACGGCGCACTTACACAGAACTTTTTAGGCCGAAATTGACGTTTGTGGATGAAAGGCGCAAAAAAAAGTGGTGGTTTTTTCTTCCAACAAAGGCAACAGCTTCTAAGTTTGATGCTGTAGCTGTGCAGAAAAAATTTGATTGTGAAGGAGAAAGTTGTAGTTTGCGATGAGGTTGTAAAAAATTGATTTTATAGCCGCGGTTAATTCTTAGAAAAGAGCCTTTCTATTTTTTTTGCTCTTCGGCTAAAATCAACGAAATTGGTCCTCGTCTTGGCCAGCAATACAAGTATAGTCGTTTTGTTCACGGACTGGACGTCACTGCGGAACACGCGTGGCAAGGTAAAACGCTTGCCCCAATACAAATTCGTCATTGTACAACTCGTGCTCCCGGAACATTTCAGCCCAGCCGCGCGTGGTCCGCCGCGTTTGAGCAGTTCTTGCGGTCTGGATACATCAACATGCCCTCTAAATCATTAGAATGATGGGTGTGAGTGGATCCATGCGCGACCGCTTCGCTTGGCCTATGCATCTCTTGGGGTTGGGTCAGGCATAGCGTTACTCCGCTCCGCGTACGTCTCATATCCTTAGGCACATGCGCGTGCGCCGCGTACGCCGCTAGGTCTGGCTCAATCCTCGTTTCAAATCATTTTCCCACTTTCAATTATCGGTTGAATCTTGATCTTTTCCCGCTCAGATGTGAGAAAACGACCAGTGAGCATGCTCACGAAGGAAGTGCAGACTGTATCAGGTTGTCTCATGAGCGCTTAGCATTTTGCAAGAACCCTATCTTTCCTTCTTTCAAAAAAGGAACTGGACATGACTGACCAAAACAGGCTCTACAACACGACCATTAAATATTCTGATTTTGATCTGCAGGGATCCAACAATTATAAATAATAAGAAAATCAGTTTTCAACGATAACAAGCTCAGGCATAAGGTCTTAAGTGCCATTTTTCCTATAGTTAAAAACCAAGAAAACGAAAATTGGAGTGCTTCTGCTAAATCAGGCTCACTCACACTCAAATAATTCCAACCTCTGGACGTATGACCAAGAACTTCGGCCTTTTTTGAGCACGGCTTTGAAAGTTACGAGATTTAGCAAGAAATTTTCCGCTAAGCACTCAATTCAAGAAGCACATTCCCTATTTTTGGACAGTTTTGTTCCTCAACTTCTGACCATAAAATGCAAGGCATGTGTACATAGATTGCTTACTATTGAGTTTATTCAGGTGAGAAAGTTGTAGTACCTTAGGACTTATTGGAAAATCCAGTTTCTAGCTCTGCAATATTCATCTTTTGGGTTCAAACTATATGAAAATTATAGTTTTTGTGAGGATGTTTAAAGTCTATTAAGAATTTAGACAGGATAGGAAGCGAAATGGGCGATAGTTTTCCGAATTATGATAGCAACTGGGGGTCAGACATTTGCACTAATTCGGTAGTCTAGAATCAATATTTCGTTGTTGTTTGGGCTCTGCACATGACACGCACTTGATCCCCTTCTTGCTTGTTTATGAATGAGGAGGTGATCTTTGTCGACTGTTGCCCATATTTGCACTTTCCATGCGGAGCAAGCTCTATAATTTGCACTTAAAGTGCATACAGTCTGGAAACTAACTACGAACGCCGTCAACTCTACGTCGCTGTTATGCAAACTATGTGGATCGTCCTTGAGTGCATGCGCTCCCCAGTACTCTCTCGGCGTTCTCTGCACATCCGCGTTAGTTCATGTATCGCAGTTATATTTCGTCGCCGTATAATCTGGACTGCCCTCGTTGTCGCGAATCTGCTGTTAACACTGTAAGAGAACACATAGCACAACGGTAAAGCATATGGGGAGGAGAGTACTCTCGTCGCATCGCTTTGGCAGTCATCAAAAGATATTATAGTAAGATTCTGTTTGCACCCATTAGGCGATTTGCTGTCATGGTGTTGTTCACAAAGTATCTCAAACCGACGACATCATCTGCACAGAGGAATGTAACTGCCATTCCAGCGTCACATGAATGAAAAAGCAATCAAAAATCGCACAAGACGCACTGAAATTGGAGAATTAGTTGTGCTATTTTTTTGCGACCACCAAATACGCCAACGGTTGTTTGCAAGTACATGTTTTCTTCCTTAGTTGGAAATGATTTTGCATTATTGAATATTACTGCACAGATACTCGACGGCATATAAATTATTTTTATAGTCCTTATAATCAAAGCATGTTTAGGAGAAAAAACGTGTAGCAGTTCTGTGCTGTGCTCACAAGCGCTAAACAATGCTTCTTCACGATCAACTTTTTGCAAAAAATTGAAACTTCAGGGAACAAGTATGAGGATGATTAAAAGGATGTCAGATTATCTCTTCGACACATGGTTGCATCCCAAAATATTTTGCCTGAAATTATTGGAAGTGACTACTATCTCACTTAGTAATTAGATACTTACTTTCAGATGCTACATGCACATTCAAGAAAAATGGGCCTGTTTGTATTCCACTTTGAAATCACAGCTCAAATGTTCCTTTCCGTAAGATCATGCCTCACCCAGCTGGAGAGCTTTCAAAGAATTGATACCATACGCTTCTTTAATGTCAGCAAATCTACTCGGATGAAAGCTCCACTCGGATGAAAGCACAAGGAAGAAATAACGATTATAGGCTAGGAAGTAATACATTTTACACCTTTTTGGGCTTTCAGCTTATCACCTCCCTCGTAAAGAGAAGCGTATTGGTCTGACTACGTAACAAAAATCTGTGTGGAATATATTTGAACAAAACGTTGGAAGTAGAAGGAGCCATTGTAAGTTTGACTAAACTCTTAAGATATCTAGCACACCATTCGTTTGAGGAAAAATTATGTGTTCTCTTTTTCACAACAGTCAGGAGCATGCAGATTGCGTCCGTTTCGAGCATGAAGTTTTGTACATAAATTCTATTGCATTGCTAGATTACGGTAAACCTATCATTTCGAAGATTGTAAGACTTATAGTTGGAATTTTTTGTTACCATATTTCTTCGTTAGACTTTGCGCATCTACAAACCTCAAATTAAATTTATAATGCATCTTATGAGGCTACAAAACCGAATTTTTTGGACCCATTCGCTGCCTTTAAGATTTATTCGTGCCCTCATATTGCAATTTTTTTCAGTAGCAAGGAAATTGTCACACACACCGATTTTGCTTCCATTATAGTTTTTCTTACCCCGGTCTGAAAGTCAAGAAGGGGGGAAGAGTGAATTGCGGGAAAGTAAATGTTGGAAACAATGTGTATCGAGTGGTGGTAGTGGTGTAACGTGGAGTCGTAGTGTATCGAGTAGTGGTAGTGGTAGTGGTCGGTGCACGGCATGTAGCAACCGGACAACTGAAAAATGTTTTGGATTTAACCAACCTGTAGGTAAAAGATTACTTACCAGCTAGTAGCCACTAGGACACATCTTTGATAGAATCCGCAAGGTAGGTAACAGCCGGTATTGCACTCTAAAAATTTTAAGCAAAATATCTTTCTATGAATTACAGAGAATTCTAGACTTACGTTGTTGGACGCATCGAGGAACGTTAGGGCAACCAACACAGTTTTGTGGCTCTACCAATACGCATTGATAGCCGCTTTGGCACCTTGTATTTGCGCAGGTAGCGCCTTGAGCTTCTGAAGAACTTCTTTCATTGTTTATACACTTACATTCACAGTTTTTTCTCTCACCGACGGCATAGGTGGCGACAGATGCCAGGAGAAGAGCTTCCAGTGCCCACTGCAATCGTTAAAATCTCTCTAGTCTTTGACTTTGCAGGTTGTAGAACTCACCTTCACACTCATAGTCAAACAACAAGCAACAGCGTAAAGGCTGTTTCCTTTTCAGAGTGTTACTATATTTATACCCTGAGAAATTTTTTTGTATTCCTCCTTGTTTATCGTTGTTGGTATATACAGATTTTGCATACAAATTTGATGTTTCTATCAGTAAGTAGTGTTTGCACTGCCAAAAATGAATAAAATTACGGTAAAGAAAGATTAACAATGTTTACATAGGTATTATACATATGAAACTTTGAGGTTGCAGAATGTGCGCCGCAGATGCATTTTATAATTTTGAACTTGAAAGGTCTCTTTTTACTCAGTACTCAATTACCAAATAGTAGGTCATTAGGTAATCTTATAATGATCGCGGCGATTGTGGTAGACATCAATGCTGTCAGGTAAACTATGCCTATCGGTTCATCACCATTGAACTCTTCTGGCTGATTTTTTTTGACAAAGTACGTCATCAAAATCTTCTTCTATTAGCTGATGAGTTTGTGCACACTGTGTCCAACATCAAGCAGTCTTCGAGGTTTAAGAATTCTCGACTGAATGAAACACGAATAAAATTTGAAAATTAAAAATATTGAATGAATGAACATCGATTGTGTTCGAACATTGGGAGTCGAATTTCGAATAAATATTTGAATGATTTATCGAATAACTAGAGCAACCAGATCTAAAAATTGCTGACATATTCCCCTAATCGATCCATTCATAATGAGCACCTTCATATATCCTATACTAACTCCTAACTCAAGATTTTCTAACGGTGAAATTGATGAAATAGATTTTATTTTTAATCACCACTTTTATTTATCCCCTATATCAACACCCAGCCTCCTAGCTCAAGATTTTGCAAAAATCGAAAAAAGCATCACAGTAGATGTTTATTTATGATCAGCACCCTCATTTACCTCTGTACGAACTCCCAGCCTCGTAGCTCAAAATTTCGCAAAGAACTGTTAAAATCGATGAAATAAGATCGTATAAATAATCACACCCTTTCTTATCCACCCCCCCCCTGTACCAAATCCCAGCCCGGTAGCTAGTATCTTGTGACTGGCAAATCGCGTACTACTGTCGCGTGAAGTATGTGCGAGGCCTGTCATAACCAAAACTCGTATTTCTCAATGCCTTTTTCGTCCAGCTTTAGCCTTTACCATAGTTGATAGGCTGATAGCTCCCGGTGTTAAAGTGCCTGCAAGCCTCCGTGAAAATCTTGGATGCGCTGTGACACAGAACTATCATGTAGCACACACTGAACAGAACTTTTTTGCAAGGTGATATAGATATAGCTTTGATTTAGCTATTTATATGCACATATAGCGGAACTCAAAGCCAATGAGAGCTGTTTCTGCCGATGATCAAATTACCTCAAATTTTGCTCCAAATTGAAAGAAATTTTCGTAAGGTAGGCAAACGGTTGCCAAAATCTTTTAAGTTTGGGAAACATTGCCTTATAATCTAGGAACGGTAGTTCAACGTTGAACGTTCGATGCTTTATAGTTCCATTTTTTCGCTTCTCAACACCCTATGTGATATCGCAATGAACGTGCTGTGAAAAAGTTCTGAGCTAAAATCTAAAGTAAAAGTCAATCACCAAACACAAGATTACCTCTCCTTCAATACTTTAGCCGGTTTTGATACATGGAACCTCTCTTTTAAATTTTGAAAATTTCTTCTGCCAAATTCAGTTCGGTGTAAAGGGAGTGCAACGGCTAAGAGCCTAGTTCAAAAGCCTAAAAGAATTTTTGCATCGTAGAAGAGTTTTTGAAGGATTGGAAAAATCTCTTCTTACTTAAAAGGGAAAGCCCCTAAACCCGGTATTCCGAAGAGATTTCGCTTTGTGAACTCGAGAGACGTTGTGAGATAGATGTTGGATGCTGGAGGACCTTCAGTTATCTAGCCCAAGTTGTATGAAAAATCCTTGAAACCAACTGTGATTTGTATACTTCGACTAGATCTTGCTTACTTTAGTAATTTATGTGCTACCATTAGGCACTTTGCTGTCATAGTGTGGCTAGATTTTCTCAAACTGGTAGCATCTACACAGAAAGATGTAACTGCCTATAAAGAAAAAAGTTATCTTATATATAAAGCTGAATTGTATGTTTGTATGTCTGTCTGTCTGTCGGTCTGTATGTCTGTCTGTGTGTACGTATGTTCCGAATAGAAAATTCCATTTCTGAACCGATCTGGACCAAACTTGGCATACACTTCAAGCCCCGGCGGGTGTCATAGGCTACTTTCCGTCATCGATCGATATCGATTTTATCGATTTTTTGCAAAGTTTGAGCTACGGGGCTGGGAGTTTGCACAGGGAGCTCAGACAGTCGATGGGATACCTCCGAAGCAGAAGTGGCAAGGTCGCGGGCTTTCCTCAGCGGAGGATTGCCACTTCGCGCTTCGGAGCCCTGCCATTTCACGCATTTTTGTGCTCCGGGGCTCTCCCAAAAGTGGCGCACCTTCGGAGCAGAGATTTGCGCGTCGCGGAGAGGAGTTCCATTCGTTCTGTTTGTGACGTCACCGTGACCTCACGGTGAATGAATGCTACCCCTCTCCGCGACGCGCAAATCTCTGCTCCGGAGATGCGCCACGTTTGGGAGAGCCCCGAAGCACAAAAACGCGTGAAATGGCAGGGCTCCAGAGCGCGAAGTGGCAGACTCGCGCCATATGCCCGCCGGAGGTATCCCTTCGACTGTCTAAGAGGTAATCGAGCATGGGGAATTCGAATGCAATATTAGTTTTCAGGATTATCGATTACTTTTATCGATATCGATTTTTTTTTGCAAAGTTTGAGCTACGGGGCTGAGATTTGGCACAGGGGGTAACCAAGCATGCTGATTACGAGTTCGATATTAGTTTGGCGCTATTCGGCTACCCGGGCTTCAAAATTTTTTGCGGTAGAGCTTGCTCAAACTTCGTATATAAAGATTATCTCAAGGGCCGGGCATACTTCAAGCGATGCCAGATCGCGACGCGATTTGGCAATATTCCATAACTCATTGTGAGCACATTATAAATGTGCAGAAGATAAAGCATTTCATCAGTCTACGTAAGTTATACACATTATGCATGTGCAGTTTACTAATGTTGGATCCGAAGACTTCTGGCGAATTGCCAAATCGCGTCGCGACTGAAATCGCGTGAAGTATGCCCGACCCTTTACATGCTGATTACAAATATCACACTTTCTCCGCAGAACGTCTTTCCGTGTGGTTACGATAGGTGTACGGTAGGAACTCAAAATCATGAATTCGGCTGGACTTCGGTCCATATGGCTTATTCGACATGCTAATTACGAATAACATCTCTCTCTCTCTGCATATTGGGACCTTTTCATAGAGTTGTGGTGGTTATATGACATGGGGTCGAAAACATAGATTTGCTTTAAACTTCGTCTACGGTGGTCATTTAGCGCGTTGAACATGAATACCATGCTGATTTCGCAGGATAGTGCATATTCTTGGGTTACGGTGGGTTTAGATGGGTCGAAGAACCAGATTTGCTCAAAACCTTACCTGTAACGGTTCACAAGTATATCGCTTATGAATATGATGCTTGCTCGCTGTCATAACGCAATAATGAAGTTATGGTGAGTTGCAGGGTTTGAATGGACATTTTTTCGCCTTCGGGCCAATTTAGATCCCAGGCATTCTAGAGGGGGAAACGGTGGTTTTGCATGGCGGTCTCCAGCGCCATTCTGATAACCTTTCCCAACGCGTAACGCACGCGGCAAATCTCCCTCCTCCTGTTTTTGCTTAGGCAAAAGCCGCCGAAGGGTGTATCGCGCGCGGCAGTGATCCTATAAGGGAAAGCATTACGGTCATGGGAAACTTTTCGTGGGGATTGAGCACAATATTCTTGAAACAGCACTTTAGGTAATTTTCTGCCAAGGTTTCAGGCAGGTTCATGATATCTACCCGCTGCCACGCAAAATGACTACGATATTCGTCATCAGCGGCTTTAATAATCCCCATGTACCGACTTTGAGCAAGATCCATCACAAAAACATTTTGGGGCCGGACAGCTGAATAGCGCCATCAGTTTTCAGAATTATCCTTACTTTCACCGGTTTTATAGCTTTTTTGCAACGTTTGAGCTACGGGGCTGGGGGTTGTTGAGGGAGGTAGGTGGGCATGCTAATTACTAACACAGCGGGAATAGGGAATTGCATGTAAAAGTGGGTACAATGAAAGGTTTTACATGGATAGGGGTAAGACCTTAATCATAGCATTGACAGGGCCGGGCTGAGCCGGGTAAGCCAGCTAGTGAAATTATAAAGCTGTATATAACGAAAATGTTGGAAAGAAATGAAGCCCGTTTCCACTGTTTACTTTTGCATGTAGTTGTCTCCTGAAAAAGCTCATTAAAGTTTGTGTTGGTCACATGCGAGAAATATTTCAACACAATTATCATGGAGCATCGACAGAGATGACTAATTATAAACAGATTTTCGACGAGAACACAAATTGCGATATAATGCATTATAGTATTCAAACCTAGCGATGTATGCATAATCTAATTAGATCCCAATTTGTTACTATGAGGTTAATTTATGAAAAATCAAAGCAATTACGCAAATATTATTGTATTCGCTTACTGTTAATAAAAAAAGATCTTCACTCCTTCTCTTTCTTCCCCTATCTGATGTAAATCGTTGAGAGTACAGTGAGCAAAAACAAAAACTTTGTACATTAGTAAGCTTTGCGGCGACGACGATTTTGCTTTAGTTTCATTAGTAAAACACAGATTATTAAAAAATGCAATTCTGTTGTGAAAAGAATTGAAAAGGCGATTGCTAAAAGTAACAAAGTTTGTGAAAAGACTGAGGAAATAACCGTGAAGACACAGCGTTATATTTACTAGCTTTTCAAATGCGCTTGTCTCAAATAAACTAGCAAAATCAAAATATTCTTACAAGGAAAGCGTGTTTGGTCGAAGTGGCCTTTTCAAATTAAACCCATACTGCTTTGGTGAGTATTGCACAGTGATTCCAAATCTGCCTTCATTAACTGCCAAGGCCTTCAGACGCTGAATTATGGGCGTTTTCAGGTCAAAAAATTGAACGCAAAAATGGAACAAAAGTGTCCCAAATTTGCTCAAGTGGCCCCGTGTTGAGTATCAGAGCAGTTTATGCAATGGAAACATTTTGTCTAATATGCTAATACTTAACATTGCTTTATCTGAGCACTGGAAAGATTGTAACAATTGATTTTGCCTAAATTGTGCATTTTTCGTTCAAAAAACGGTCATAACTCGGCGTTGAAGCGCCTTGGCAGATAATGAAGGCAAATTGGGGCCAGCGTAATGCTCTTCAAAGCGGTAAAAGTTCATTTCAGTCCCTTGTTTGTTGTAAAAAGGTTTTTTGTAAGTCAAAAATGTCCCGTACATCGCCCTGAATACTTCATTTTCGTTTGTTTTCGAGGGAAGTGCGCTCTCCATTATCGCTTACATTGCAGGTCGACGATATGGCTTTGGATTTATGGCTTTATGTATGCTTGAGTGCAACTTGTTTCACGAACTAACTTTAAAAAGATCTTTCGCTTTGTGTATGTTATCACATTTACAAGCGAAGTTACATTGTGCAAGCTAAAGCCTTTCTCGTTTGATCATTGTCTGCTTGTTTATTTAGAGCAGTTTCCTAGAGGAATGGATGCATCTGATCGAAAAGAAATCGGCAATTAGGATTCAGGCAGGTCCATAGATAAAGATTTTGAAAAGAAAAGTCGGAAAAAAATGATAACGTTGTATCCTTCTCGAGAGGCTGATTTCGAAAACCACGACTATTTGCTTACAGCTTGTGTTATTGCTAACAGCCAGTTTCAGTGAGATAATCAGTCAACCTGAAAAGCATTCGAAAAATTCATAGTTAAGGAAAAGCGTAAATGTGCTGAATAAAAATGCACAGTCTTTCCAGCTCGAATGTATGGTGAAAAAAATCATTCGTAAGCTTTGCATCTTCATTTCGCTATTATGACTACAACAAAGCTGTTTGACACAATTGAAAACTATCAACGCATAACGCTCATAAGATTTCTTTTATTGCGTGCCTGCAATGTAGAAGATCTGCTTCATATCGGACTCTGTCAATCCTTTCCTTCCAGCCTTTGTGTAGAGGAATTCACCATTTTTTACGTACTCTTGGATTTCTATAACACCCAAGCATTTGTCGCCTAAAGGGACGCAGTAGTCTGCAAAGGCGTAAGCGTCGTAGAAGTAGTAGCCAGATGTATTGTAGATTTCTCCAAAGTATAGACGACGGTGATCTGCAATGTGTTTAGTCTCTCTTCCGGGAAGAGCGAAAGATCTAATTCTGTATTGTTATCAACTGAATTGAAGATTAATGTCATGTCCTGCTGCTTGCATACCGATATTTGCCTAGCAATGCTCGAAATAATTACTCAGCTCATGGAGATTTGGTAATCGTGGTAATGAGCTATGCGTTTTGGAGAGCAATTAGAAGGGGAGTAATGTACCTGAGTTGGGAAAAATGCAGACACTGCAAGTGTAATTGGAATTTATTTACAAAACATGAACTCACCTGCTTTGTGAAACACAGGTACTGACGTACAGATTGGCTCTGGTTTTTTGGAGAAGATAAGCCTAAATAGAGGGTACCAAAAAAGACCGAGTATCGATACAATTATGAATCCGCTCTATAAATCACCAAGAGTATTGTCCGAAAATTTCCTGTTCTACTATGCCAATGTTTATTTTTAGCAGGACAAAAATAGGAAGATTTAGAATATTCCGTAAGGCTAGTAACGGCTATGAAGCCACTATCTTTTTCACTTGTCAAAACCGCCTTCGTATTTCATTTTTTGTACGTCTACAGTATCGGAATGAAGCACTCTTTACACCTGTAGGGGGCAACGTTCAAATTTTGTTACACAGATATCTTCGTAATAATGATCAGCAAATGCGCAGAGTTTATCCGGACACTCTTCACGACTTTTGAAAGATCAAAAAGTTCCATCCTAAGTGAACGAACGCTTGGAAATTCCGTGCGTGAAAAGTGTAAATAAAATATATTTTTCATTGGCAACTGCTTCCAAGTGAAAGATTCCACATTTTAGTATGTAGCTCTACGAAGATTCTATAGAGAAAGTGCAGCAGTGATTGGCCAAAAGAAGTGTTTATAGTTATTTACAGTTGTTCTCAGCTTTGAAGACTAGCTTTTCAATTATTTCATTTATTTGAAAACAGCGAGTTTGGAAACCGTCTTGATCGTAAACAATGGCATAAACATAAAGCAGTGAATTTTTGGACAACTGGCTAGAGCAAGATATGGTGACTATACAAGGACTGGTACTTATGGTCTACACTAAATTATGCGCGTACGTGGCAGGTTGTTTCATGAATTTTTCCTCTTTTGTAGTAATAATTCAATTTGCACTTATGAAACAATCCCTGAGTTATCATCAGATGAAGCATAAACAACCTCTACAAGGTTTCCTTTGAAATTCTCGCAGGCTTTTGTCAGGTAAAGCAAAAATAAAATCAAAATATTTCGATTAGCTGGGATCAGATTTCCATCAAGAAAATATCCTACGGATGCATGGCTTGCTCATGCATATACTCTTTAATGCTTTTTTTCCATGGCTAAGAATCAAGTAAGAAGTTTGGCATGCTTCTGCTCATCGATGCTAGCAGTAAGCTCTCCACACTCAAATATTTCTCAACCGCAATTCTTTGACACCATCAGTTTGTTAACCTCAAATTTTTAGCCTTCTGTAAAGTTACTTTCTCGAAATCGAGGGAAATAACGCAGAAACCTTGAAAAGGCAACTATCTCTTCTTAGCCAACCTTGCCATTCAATCTCTGGAGTGTACAATCAAATGATTATTGCGAAGATTGGAGATTATGTATTCAAGCGATTTGAAATTATATACAAGTTTTTTAAATGGAGTTCGATTTTTGGTTACCAAAATTTTTTGTATTTATAACTCCAAACTTTACGCGTATCAGGTTTGTGAAAATGTTTGAAAGCAAACTTGTCGCCATATTTTGCGAGCACTACTCAAAACCCTTTCTCAGAAATTTGTGAAAAATGACTTTCTGTGAAGCGGCAAAATTATGAGACAACCCAGCACTATAAGAAACCCCATTTAATCCCCATAAAGGGTGCTCAACCTGGGATCCGTGGCATTCTTCCAATCATTGGGAACATTCTGACCATTACGATAAAAGAAGTGGTAGTTTCCATTTTCATAAGGTTGAATAACAGTAGTATTCAGCTTTGCAGTGTCGTTGCATTGCCTTTTTGGACCACTTTTTCGGCCTTCTATTTTTTGGAAGGGAACATCGTCGGTGGCCGTTTCTGTCCTGCATGAGAAATCAGTTTGTTTGCGTTTGAGTACGTATCCTTCTAAGGCGTGATTACTTCCTTTTCTGTATAGCTGACATAAGCGACTGGTCTGAAAACATCAGTCATCATTTTCGAGCATTTATATATACCAGACCTCATTGTACTGCGCTATTTCGCATTCTTTCTCATCATAACAAGCTCTTAGGCATCGAACTTCCTCCGATAGAGGAAGCCTATAGATAAGGCTTCCATGGTAAGCTTGAAGTTCGAAACGAAAGACACCAGTATTTGAGACCTGAATTCTAACATAAGATAAAGCTATTTAGTATTGATGTTAGTAATGGCTCACCATTTTCGCTGAAAACAAAACAGTGAGGACGATTGTAGCAGTTGACATCCTTTCAAGACTTTGTTAAGTGTTGAGTGAATGGTGTCGGGAGGTGCGAAACGTTGCAAATGAGAGAATGCATTCTCTCTTCTGTCACCCCCCCCCCATAACATTATACATTTCTCACACTTGGCAACCAGTGCGAACACAATGGCAATTTAAGGTTAAGTACAGAATAAAGCTTTCTGGATCACTAACAACGTAGCAACTGTCCCATTTTGAAGTAAATAATCGTTCTTTTTTCTCTCCACTGCCTAGGAATGAATTTTGTTCGTTACGGCCATTTGAAGGATAGGATAATGTTTATAAACACAAATAGCGGAACTCAAAGCCAATGAGAGCTGTTTTTAGCTGTTTTTTTGAATTTTTACAGATTTCCGAAAGAAAAACTAAAAAATTTAACTCCAGTTAACTCCGCTTAGGAGACCATTTTTGAAGGCTTAGAAAAATTGCTTTTTGCTCGAAAAAAGCTCCTAAGCCCGGTTGTCCGAGGAGAATTGTATTTGTGAACTTAGCCGGAGTAAGATAAATGCTTGAGCACCTCCATTTATCTAGCCCAAGATGTCTGAAAAATTCTTGAAACCAACTGTGATGTGTACGAGTGTGCGACTTCGACTAGACCTTTATCACTGTAGGATTTGCCTCCATTAGGCAATTCGGGAATAATTTTGCATTATTGAATGTTCTTGCACAAATACTCAATGCACATATAATTTATTTTGATAGCTCTTATATTTAGAGCATGTTTAGGAGAGAAAAACATGTAGTAGATGTGTGCTGCTCTTAAGCACCTAAACAAATGCTTCTTCACGATCAATTTTTGCAAAAAGTTGAACTTTCAACTAGTGTGACGATGGTTGAATAGATGTCAGTTTCTATCTTCGACACTGGGATGCATCCCAAATAATATTGGATGTGACCAATCTCACCTATAAATTTATTATATATACCTATTTTCAGGCTTTCAAAATGGATATGTTTGTGATCCACTGTAGGTCACAGCTCAAGTTTTTCTTTCCACAAGAAGTCGTGGCCTCACACTGCTTGCACACTAAAAGCTTTTTAGAAATTAATACCATATGCTTGCTCTATGTCGACGGACCACTTGGAACACAGAAAAATACGATTGTGTACTAGGAAGTGATACATTTTGCACCCTTTTTGGGCTCTCAGCTTATCAGTTCCCTTGTAAAGAGAAGCTTATTGGTCTGCCTATTGAGCAAAAATCTATGTGGAATATATCTGAACAAAACGTTAAAAGTAGAAGGAGCCATTGTAAATTCGATAAAATTCTTACGAATAATTACCACACCATTCATTCAAGGACATGGCTCTTGCAAAGAGTGAATTAACATGCTCCAAATGCAAACGTCGGCCAGCATCATAGCCGTCGAGTAAAATTCAATTCAGACCGTAAAAAGTTGCCTTTCTAGAAGATGTGTGATCTCCTTTCAAAACAATTGAAGCGCGCATACTGCAACTGCTTTGAGCGTGATATTATGTACATAAATTTGATTGGATTGGCATTACGGTAAACCTATTGTTTCGAAAACGGCAAAACGTAGCTGAAATGTTTTGTTAATATATTTTTTTGTTTGACGTGGCACATATACGAACCTCGAACCAAATTTTATAGTACGTCCTACGAGGCTACAAAACTGGTACTTTTATACCCATTCTCTGCCTTCATAAAATACTCGTGCCCTCATATTGCAATTTTATTAGTAGCCAAAGTCACACACACTAACGATTTTGCTTCCATTGTAGTTTCTCTTACCCTGGTCTGAAAGTGAAGAACGGGGGAAGAGTGAATTGCGGAAAGGTAAATGGTGGAAACAATGTGTATCGGGTGGTGGTAGTGGTGTATCGTGGAGTCGTAGTATACGTCGGGTATCGAGGAGTAGTAGTAGTGATGGTTGGATACCGGACAGTAGTAGTGGTCGTGGTTGGGGAACGGCATGTAGCAACTGGACAACTATAAAAATTTTGAATTTAATTGATCTACAAATACATTACGCGCATATACCTGAGAAAAAAAACGATGCGCAGTGGCCCGATCAATGTGACATCATCGTAGCGTGGCCATATCTCTCTTCAGAGCAAGAATTCTTATTTCAGAAGCACCATTCGACTCAGCTCGGGGAGGCGCTTTTTCTGATCCATAGAAGTGCCCGCCTGCACACAGTATGAGGCCAGATTCCATGAATCGTTTCGGATTTTTGCTTACGGCGGGTTGCCCAGTGAGTAACCCACCGAAAGCAAAAGTCTGAAACGATTCGTGAAATTTGGCCTTCTGTTGTGTCCAAACAGGCACTTCTGTATATCCACAATGCTCCGCCCCGAGCTGAGTCAAATAGTGTCCTTGGATTAAAAATCTGCCCACTATGAAGCGAGACATGGTCACGCTACGGTGATGTCACAAAATTAGCGACTGCGCATCGTTTTTTTTTTTCAAAAATAAAGCGGTGTTGTAAGTTTGCTTACCAGCCAGTAGCTACTAGCACACATCTCTGATAGAATCCGCAAGGTAGGTAACAACCGGTGTTGCATTCTAGAATTTTGTAACGGAACTTTTAAGAAGTACAAGAAAACTCCAAACTCACCTTGTTGGACGCATCGAGGGACATTAGGGCAGCCAACACAGTTCTCAGGCTCCACTAGTACGCATTGGTAGCCGCTTTGGCACCTTGTGTTTGCGCAGGTAGCGCCTTGAGCTTCTGAAGAACTTCTCTCAATGTTTGTGTATTCATTCTATAGTTATTTTCTCTTACCGACGGCATAAGTGGCGACACATGCCAGTAAAAACGCTTCCAATATCCACTGTAAATGCGCAAATTCCTCTAACTTCAACATTTAAACAAGAAGAACTTACCATCACATTCATGGGTATAGCGCCCAACAAGGCAACGTGAAGGCTGTTGTCTTGTTGGGCCTGTGCCCATATTTATAGCCTGGAGTGGGAACTCCTTTTAGTAATCCTTTTTGTTTTAATCGTTGTTGCGAACATAGTATTTGCATGTAAATCTGAGTGTTTTTGTCGGCAAGCAGCTTTTACATTGCCAAAATCGAATAAATTTACTGTAAAAAAGGATTGACAATGTGTACACAAGTAATATAGACAAGAAGACCTCGGACCGCTTATAGATTGGTTGGGCTAATTCAGTAAGTCACACACTTATGTTGATAGCCGGATGTTGTACACCGTGTCAAATCGCACCAAGGCTATGGAGTTTTTTGAAGTCAGCAGCGAGATTTGAATTTGGATTGCTGCGATCGCTCATTATTCTTCGTTAACGCAAGGAAAACTTAGTACATTTGCAACAGCTTGCGAAAACTACGTGCCTATGTATATTCGCCCTCAGCCAACTAAACACCCAGTTAGGAATCTGAAATTGAGCCGGAGCAGGCGGTTGGCGTCAGCGCGAGACTTTTCCGCTTTGCAAAGTTTGCGCATGAGTTTCTTTGATTGTTATGGTTCCTTGCTGTTTCTTGTATTGTAGCAATATTCTTCATCAGAACCTACGATTTTGTTGATAATAAGCGTTGCCCATGTTGCTCTGCTCGTATACTTTACCTTTTCTTTTAAGGTAAGCCTAAAACGATGCTGTTGGGGTGTTAGGAAGACCTGGAAAGACTTTTTCAATAAGTAACATATGCAGAATTGTGCTGCGTTAAATTTTGTGTTTGAACGTGTTTTTCCGAGCTTTTCTCTTTTGATAGAAAACAAAATAAAAACCTCAAAGAGTGTGTAAGTTTTTGTTTTACAGACAAATAGAAATTTCTACAATTTTGAAAGCGCACATGTTAGGATGGATTCATACTGATCCGTAAGTTCCGGAACAGTTTAGCCACAGCGCACATTCGAGGTTGCGCCGGAATTGTTCCCGGACTTACGGATCAGTATCAAGGCGGACTTAGTTGTTAAAAGGGCAAAAAAAATATTTCTAACTGTATAGTTTTTTGGTTTATTTGAAGCAACAACAAAGTATACAAGCATAGCAGTATGCAACATGTCATAATTAAGAAGTGGTGAATCCTGATAAAGAACATTACAACACAACATATAGAAAGGAATAATGAAAAAGTTCAAAAAGTTTCATGCGCAAACTTAAAAGGGTAAGGCCCATTGCGCGCAATTGCCAACCGCTCCTGTTCAAATTCAACTTCGTCCGTTGGGCATTGGGTGTCTAGGGGGGAGGGGGGAATCAATCGGGAAAAATGAGAATAAAAATTCGCTCGGACGAATCTGCAGACACCGGCTTGACCGAGGCTAGGCAATTATCATATAGAATTTTTTGGCATTAATTTACCGGCTGCGGAGGGTGGCGTGCTTGGTTGGCCCATGCGCGGAATCAAACCTGCTCCCGACCTGGTCATAGCGGGGCCTCATATCACTACGCCACTCGTTCCCCTTCATATTGGGTATATTACAATTCGTGTTCACCTTGAGACAAAATGGAATGACGGAAATTAAGAGCGGTGCCTTTTACTCTATTTGATGGCCTGCTTTCATTGCTTTTGGGTCTATTCATGCTTTTCTCTGATTTTGCCTATAACGCAGAACGCACAAAAAGTCAAAAATCTCTTCTTGAAACCCAATTTGGTGAGTGTGGAGCACAAGTTTAGTTTTGTCCAATAGATGGACGACGTATGCATCACGACTTTGCTTGCGATGCCCCAAGCGTCTTCAAAGGCAGTATCCAGCAAAACGCCGATTTTGGGATTTTGTGCTTACCCTGGTCTATTTGTCATGCTGGATCTGAAAATCCCCTCTAAAATGCGCGAAAAAAAAGGCAGAAAAGGTCTCTAACGCGGGAGGGAAAGCGCAGGTGGGCGGGTTCCTCCCACTGTGGATTCAGATCCCAGCTTCCGGAACGATCTTCTCGATTCCGATAGCTGTCCCACATCGCCAGCGGCCAAGTGCGATCGCGTGACTTGAAATCGGAAGCGAGAAGTTGCTCCGTAAGCTGGAAGCGTGAATCCACGTTGAGGAGAATCACGCCCATCTGCGTTTTCCCTCTCTTGCGTTAGAGCCCTTTTTCGCCGTTTTCGCGCTCTCCAGATGGATTTTCGGATTTAACATAGCGAATGGGTTCGAGTAAGCACAAAATCCCAATCAGCTTTTTGCCCGGACATTGCCTCTAACACGTTCGGATCGGTGCTGCACATGGTGCAGCACGCGACTTTGAAGTATCTTTTTCACTTTACAGGAGGTTTTCTTTTTGTCCAAGGTTATCAAGTCAAAGGCCTAAGCTCCTCCTTTTCAAATGACTCTGTAGAGCTGTGCCGCCGATATTTGTTTAGAAGATATGAGGACAAATCGAACAACGATTGCAACGAAGCGGAAACGCGAACGACGCGTGCGATGTCGCAACTTTCCTTTGCGCCGATTTCGAAGAGGAAAACCGGCGTTTCAATAATGATGTGTAGCGTGTACAACATAGATACTTTTGGGTACTATTAGAAACATATTCTTGTTCCTATCTTTCAAGAAAGCACAGAAGTCGTTTCCAAGCGACAAAATTCAAACACTTCGAATTCACTCAGAACTTTGGGTATGGATCTTATCTGATATGCTGATTATAGATGTGGCACACAGTCTACGAAATTAAGGCCCCTTTGTTGGCTAACGGCTGAAAGTACACTTTTTTTCGCCGCGCGCGATTTCGCGGTCCGAAACGTGTCAAAGGCAGTGTCCAAGCAAAAAACTCGATTTTGAGATTTTGTGCTTACCTGGGCCCATTCGCCATGCTGACTTCGAAAATCCACATTGGAAAGCGCGAAAACAGCAAGAAAAGGCTCTAACGCAGGAGGGAAATCAGAAGTGAGCGGGGTCTTCCTCACTGTGAATTTTGCGGTCCCATCTTCTGAAGCGATTTTCTCAATTCCGCTACCAACCTGAGATCTCCACAGGCCAAATGCAAATGCATGAAATGAAATCGGGACCGAGAAGATCGCTCTGGAAGCTTGAATCGTGAATCCGCAGTGGTGAAGACCCCGCCCACTTGTGATTTATCTCCTGCGTTAGAGCCCTTTTTCGCCGTTTTTGCGCTTTCTAATGTGGATTTTCAGATTCAGCATAGTGGATAGGCCCGGGTAAGCACAAAATCTCAAAATCGAGTTTTTGCCCGGACACTTCCTTTAAGAATCAGTTCGTGTAAAAGTCTGGCGGAATAAAGGGTTCTGGCCGAAATGTTCTTATCGACACGCACATGCCTTTCCTGCCCAAAAGTACCACTGCGGACATGTTGAAGTGCACGCAGCAAAGAAAACCATAAAAACGCCTATGACTACAGGCCTTTTGTCGAATCTTTGCAAGCTGGAAGACTGTGCACGGGATCCTTGCCTGAGACTCAATATAGTTGCCCGCAGTAAACCCCATTCATCTCAGTTGTGTTAAGATTAGTCATTCAAAAGAACTTCCTAGGGTGAACCTAAGACAGCCCACCAGTGTTTTAGAATAGTCAGTTGAACAAAGACGGTCTGGCTGAGTACCACGTCAAAAGAATGCCACCGGAGAGGGCAGGCTCTAGGGTGAAAAGAGAAAGACAGTGTGCAAAAGAGGGATTTCCGCAGGGCGTCTGCGAGCCAGCCAAAGGAGACCGCTGCAGTTCGGCCGCTGCATTAGTTTGGGTCTACGGCTCGCTCAAAGTATTTTAGTGTAGTGAACCAAGGGGCTCCGGATAGGCCACACTACAGCGGCTGATCCGGGTCCCTTCATTTTACTACAAATATCTCCTGCCGGCCCGCGGGAGCTGCGTATCCGACGTGTATAAGCCATCCGCGCTGCTCATGGAGAGCAACGTTGTTGCCTCCAGAAGATAGTTTATGACTGAAAGAAGCGCAGAGAAAACAGGCTGCTAGAGTGCACGGAGAGAGAGGAGTGACGCGCAGTACACGTCTTGCGCGCTCTTCGGCCCTGTTCGGACGGCCTACAGTGAATTAAGGCCCTCCCTAAGCGTTCGAGTAAGGGACAATAGTTGACGTATTGTTGCGATGCAAAATTCCCAAAGCACAATTTCGCGACCTAAGTTAGAGGAAGAGCTGATTGCGGCGAGAAAAGCAAGGAAGCAAAGCGTCAATTCATTACAGAGCCTATTGGATGTATTAGGTCGTTTCATAAGTTCGTCGATTTTTTATTTTTGTCGCCGTTTTTCGATGAAGCAGTTGGTTTACGGCAAAGTACCTATACTATTGAAAAGAGAAAATCTAGCTCTACAAGAACTGTTGTCCGTTTTTGGAGCAAACTTGAATCCCCTTCTTTTACGACTTATCAAAGCAAATTTTTGAGAGGCAAAAATTGGCGACTGCGGCAACTGCAACTTTCGATCCGTATACGGAGCCACAAGTGGGAATTTTTCGTCTGAAGTTGTTATGAGTGATGAGAAACAACTGTTTGTGGTACTACGGTGCATATAAAAGTAGTTTCCATATTCAAAGAGAGGCTATAAAGAAAGATTAAGCGCACTTTTACCACGTGTGTAGACGTTTTGCGTTTGGTACAATTTAGAGAAGTCCTCACTTCAAAATTTTTTTGAGAAAGCGTAATATGTTGGCCAGAGCTTGTACTCATACATCTACACCACTTAGAAGAACGCATTTATTCTTCAAGTTCCGATAGGAGGACCGACACGTTGTGTCGCTGAACAACGCGCCAAACTCAACGGGACAGCAGTCAAAGACAACAACTATTGGGACCTTGTTCAAACGGTTCTATGCATATTGGAATGCTGCAAATTTGTCAGTGTTTCAGTCTTGCTTGCTACTATCCATCCCGCCTACCTATGACAGAAGCATCTTGCGGAATACGGACCAAATGCGGAAAGTGCAGTTGCCGCAATCGCCAATTCTTG